ATGGGGCATTGCTCTATATGGTAGTTAAGAAATGCCTTGTTGTTGCAGAGGATTTTGTCGGGTGTTGAAACACCGTTTGGTCCAGGTGGTGAAGTGAGGGCCCAGGTGAAGTAGTCTGCCAGTGTTGATTATACGTTCCAATGCTATGCCTTTCTGGTTACTGTTGCCGTTGCTAAAAATGCTGTGTCTTGCACTGAAATATCCCAGGATGTACATTGGGATATTATAATTTGTTAGTTTCAGTAGGTCTTCAATAGGGAGGGATGGTCTTCTTGGGGGTAGGTATGTTGTTGCGATTATTATTTCGCCATGTGTTGTCTGTACTTTAATGGCAAGGAAATCGCTGTTAAAGTTGTCTATTAGTATGTGTTTGATAACTTTTTTCACCGCTACGGCAACTCCGTCATGTTTTTCTCCACTTTTGTTCGATTGGTGGGTGTCGTAGTTAAATATTCTGAGTTTGTTGTTCTCGGGTTCGCCGTGTGCACTTATCAGTATTATATCTGGGTTGTTTTCATTATATATGTTACAAAGCTATGTCATGCATGTATGCCAATCACGGACATTGTGTTGTAGGATTTTAAGTGTTTTCAATTGGAGATGGTCCATTATTTCTTTTTCTTGGAAGGTTGAAGTTGAGGGGGTGGTCTCATTTCGTTGAGTCCAGGCGATTTCCCTTTGAGTTCAGCTGCCGTGATTACAATAAAATCTTTTGTGCCGAATTATATTTGGTCTTTTTAATCATGTTCCATACCGTTTCTTTGTCATACAATTCGTCTGTGTATTGCTAAACTATTTCGTTAGCCGTTACTAAGTCTTCAATTAATTTTCCAGTTGGATTTCTGTGTGGTCGGTATGGTATTCTTGAGGTTTGATAAAACCTTAGTCCTATATCAGCTGCTTCTTCAGGCACTAGGGGGCAGTTGTTGTTGGGAAGTCGATTTCCATTGTTCTTGGCCGCTGATTTCCTTTTCGCTTCTGTTCCTTATGTCAGTCTTGGGTCTCTCACCCTCTCATTCAAATCTCCAAGTTGTTCCGCTTTTTCCGGTATGTTATCCTGGTCTGTTGATGATGTTGTGTCCTTGGGCGTGGATAATCGTTGTCGGTAGTGTTTTGTAAGCTCTGGGGTGCTGGTGGCGTGTAACAAGTTTGCTGAGTTTGGGTTTTCAGGAAAGTTCATTTGTGGCATGTTGTTTATTTCACGCATCCTATTGAGTTCGTCGGCATATGATCCTGGGGCTATGATATTATGAAGGTGAGCATGTAGCATGCTCACCATTACTTTGTAATGATCAGTGTCACTTAGTTTGATTATGGTGTCAGTGGTTGGCTTTGTTGCCTCTTTCGCGGCCCTCTTTGCTATTTCAGCATATGTGCTTTGGTCTCTCATCCTTTCTCGTTGGTTCTTCCTGCTCTTGCTTGTATTTGATGAGGGTCTTTTTGATGGGGCAGGACATGGTCATGGTTGGGTGGGTGTGGTGCACGTCCCCGTTCCTTTTGCAGTTTATGCAGCCTTTGGTGGTGTTGTTGCACTGTGTGTAAACATGTCCTTCCTCTGCACAGTTGGAGCAGAATTTATTTTCCTTTTCAGGGCAGTCTCTTGTGGTATGCTCTTCATATTTATAGCATGTGAGACATGTCAGGAGACTGGTGTATTTTTCCCTTTTTATTTGATGAGGGGATATCGACATGTTGCACGCCAAAAACCCGCACTTGTCTGCCATAGCCGTTTCTTCGAAACAAATCTTCATTACGTGCGTGTAGTCTTCTATCTTAATTGTTTCTTCTACTTTAAGTCCTTCGTTGTTATTTTCAATGTCTGCCTTCAGAGAGTCTGCCGTTCGTCCTCCAACTTGAGAATCTAGTTTCCTTACGTAAACAGATCTCCTGGCTCTTAGCTCGGGAGGCATGACCACAATTAATCCATTCTTGTCAAGGATTTGATTCGCCTTAGTGGTTATTAGTTTGTCTGCATCATTTTCATTTCGGCAAATGACTTTGAACCCTTCGTTCAGGTTGAATACCCTATTGAAGGTGCACACCCAGTTCCACATATGCTAGGGTAATTAGCCTAGATTTATCAATAGGTTTGTTCTTATCTTTTATTTTTTTCTTATGTTTACTGCCATTGAGCATGTAGAAGGTTATTGGAGGCCCTTTTTGTATTTTACAAGAGACAACCCCCGCACAGTGGAGTGACTGCACGATCACAGTAGTCACTATGGGATCGGCCTGTTTTTTTCGACCTCCAATGAACACACACAATCCCACTCAGCTGTGAGGTGTGCGCCACTGGAGGGGCTCTAGCACGAATACTCAAATAAAGCAGGTGCCTCGGCCAGGGTAAGCAGGGAAAGATTTTAGTAAGAGAGAAAGACCCCAAAACCACGTCAGTCCTGCCAATCAATAGCTGCCCTCCAGCGGGAGTGTAGGTCACTCACTTTATCCGTGGGGAGGGCTAACTAGGGATGACAATCCTGAACGCTCGTGAGGTAGTTCGGTGGCAGTCGTGGTCGTTTTCCAAAGGCGGAGGCCCACAAGGGGCGTTGCCCCAAACAGGGTTTCTGGGAAGTCCAGTGGTAGACAGAGAGGTCGAGTTGTGGTCCGGTCTTCAACAGTAGAAAGAAGGCTCTCTCTGGTGGAGAGGCAAAGGCTGGCCAGCTTTGGCAGTGAAAGGTTCTTGAGAGAGGTCCGTTCAGGGCGAAGGCTGGCAGCGTTGAGACAAGCCTCCATAGTAGGGTGCCTTCTCCAGGACTTCCCACAGCTATTTGGGGACATTCCACAGCGGTGCCAACTGGTGCAGCATGATGTTGAACTGGTGGAGGGTGCCAAACCAATAACAAGAATCCAGGTAAGAGAGAACTTCTTGAGCAAGAAGTGAAGTTCCTTCTCGCCTACAACTTCATTGAAAGTAGTAGCAGTGAGTGGGCCTCCCCTTACCTAATTGTGCCGAAACCTGACGGGAGTTTAAGAATGGGCACGGACTACAGCAGAGTGAACAGCATCACAAGAACAGATTCATACCCATTACCAAGAATTGACGACCTAATAGATAATCTGGGAAAAGCACAGTTAATGACGAAAATCGACCTTCTAAAAGGCTATTATCAGGTGGCGTTAACTGGGCGAGCAAAGAGCGTCTCGGCCTTCGTCATTCCTGGCGGCATTTACCAATACAATGCCATGTCCTTTGAACTAAAAAACGCTCCAAGTACCTTCCAGCGACTCATCCACCAGGTTACATGTGGTCTAGACGGAGTGCAGTCTTACCTTGATGACCTCATTGTATACAGCAGCACCAGGGAAGAACACTTGTCACGATTACACCTTCTCTTCGCCAGTCTTGCTGATGCTTGTCTCACGATCAATCTACTCAAGAGTGAATTCGGCCATGCTAAACTAGTTTACCTAGGGCACATCGTCGGGTTTGGTGAGGTCAGTCCAGTTGCAGCTAAGGTAGAAGCCATCAACAACCTACCGATTCCTGAGATCCGAAAGGAGGTCGTGAGGTTTCTAGGTATGGCTGGATACTACAGACGGCACTGCCCAAACTTCTTTCAAGTTGCGACTCCACTAACTGACCTTGTGAGCCCAAAGAAAAAAAAATCAGGTGGACACCTGCTTTTCAAGAAGCCTTCAACAAGATACGCACTCTGCTCACCAATGCACCAGTTCTCCAAACACCAGACTTCAGCCAACCATTCATCCTTCAAGTAGATGCCAGTGACTTAGGGGCTGGAACTGTATTACTCCAAGAGGGACCAGACAAGATTCTATATCCGGTATGTTATGCTTCACCTAAGTTCAAGAAACATCAGAAGAGCGATGCTACAATAGAAAAAGAATGTACTGCATTGCTGTGTGAACTAGATAAGTTTAATGTGTACCTCAGTAGTTCAGTTGATCTTATTAGTGTTTATATTGACCATAGCCCCTAAAGTTTATAAATGAAATGCAGAATAACACTCAAAGATTAATGAGGTGGTCTCTTGCCTCACAGCTTTATAATTTAGTCATAAAATATTTAGAGGGAAAATATAATGTAACTGTAGATTTTTTGCCAAGAGTGTGAATGAGTTCTTTCCTTAGATTTATTTAGTATCCCAATAAAACTTTTAAGGGGGGAGATGTTACGTGCAACGTAGGATAGAACTACCCTTAATAACCAATTACTTAGCTAGCTGTACGTGCCTGCCGGACGTACTGTAACTGAGTATGTATTCATGATATATATTGTATGATTATATATTTTTTCAGACTAGAGTTACACTGTTTGTGTGTGTGTGAATAGTTTATAATAATAAATTCTGTAACACTGTAATAGCATTAACAATAACATGTTAAGTACGATTTTTGGATCAGTCTGCTCAAAGCAACCAATAAAAGCCAAGGCTGGCTGGCTGTATTTAGTGTTTTATGTATTTTTGTTCTAAAATCGTGTATTGATCTAGTTGTCAATGATATTGGCAACCTTAAAGTAACCTAGTATGTTCATTTGATTAACTTTATTTCATTGTTTATTAGTGGTAAATGTTTGTGAATATAGTTATACATTTTATTTAAGTTTCTCTTCTCCAATCATCAAATATTCAGTTATTAATTGGGGCTGCATTCAATTCATACATTATACCATAGTTGGAGTTGTTCTCGATACAAATATAAGAACCATATAATGTAAAAATCTTTGAAGACAATCACTTTTTGTTTGTTACGGGCCTTACCCCTTTGACACGTAAAAATATATATAATCTTGATAATACCCCACGGGAAAAGGGAAACATTGGAGCACCTATGCTTTCGTCCTTATTCAAGACATCCTCAGAGGTAACTGAAGATACCTTGGCTAAAGACGAAAGCAATGGTGCTCCAGTACTTCCATTTTCCTGTGTGGTTTTATCAAGATTTATCTTGTACACGTTTTCATTGTGAATCTACATGAAATATAGTATTTCAGTACAAAATATGGAAAGAAAATGAAAGAGATCTGCGACCCCTAGACTTTATGCAATAACTTTCCTGCAAGTTATGAAAATATTTAAAGTGAGATTTGGAAATACACAAGAAAATACAGAAAATTTAAGAACTGGTGATACTATTCTATGTATATTCACGGAAATAAAACATTATTTGTAACATAAACAAGACAAATGCCAAATATTGTAAAATAATTAATAACAAAAAATTAATTTAATCTACTATGACTTCTCATAAATCATATGCGAAGTAGCAGAAACAGCCTACTTTCGAAAATTAACCTTCCTTGCTTGCTTGCTTTCTTTCCAGCAAACTCTTCTATCAGTTCATGATAGCACAAACTTGCTGTCAGTTCCTTTTCAATGGCGAGCATAGCCAGTCCACTCAACCTCTCTTGATACCATTGGGACTGTCAGAAAAATCCTATATGATATTTCTGCATTGAGGGAAGGAACCATTGAGAGATTTTAGAAAATTAAAGTTTTGACGTGCATTTCTTTTTTGTTTATTTAGGAATGATTTCTAGAAGTGCTCGGTTTCGTCAATATAGTGAGAATTTCCAACACTCAATGACTTGTCCAAACTGCACAGCTGCTATCTATGGTATTCATTAAACACAACCTTCTTTTCATATCCATCCGTTTGGCTAAGTTGAACAAGTGTTTATTTGATAACTCATGAGAATTTAGTATTTCACCAAAATGCTTCCAATCATCACAGCTTTCTTTTATTAGTATATGTGTTGCATTTGAACTATATAATCACTAACCAGCTCCAGCTCGCCACCCCCTCGGGACGGTTCTGCCTACCCGCCTCGGTAGTAATGAGGGAGTGACCTACCCGCCTAAATAGTAATGTGGGAGTAACCTACCCGCCTAAATAGTAATGTGAGAGTGACCTACCCGACTCAGTAGTACTGTAAAAGTGATCAACCCGCCTCAGTAGTAATGTGAATGTGACCTACCCGCCGAGCCTCGTCGACGACCCGGGAGAGCTGCGCCTGGGTCACGTTAGCGTCCTGGCCGTCCACTGCCACCTCGAACACACCTACACCCTTCGGTGCCTCCAGCTGATCAACACCCTGAGTACGGAGAATGAAAACTTGTGTGAATAAAGTTATTATTTAAGAAGTTGAGAGGATGGTTATCATTAGTATATTTTATTTCTCACCTTACGAACAGTTGTGACTGAGGTGCTCCCATCCGTAACAAGAAAGACGGAGCAGGAAGAGGGCGTCACCGACTTTAGAATTATGTTTATCACCTCGTGTGCCACAGTCAGTGCTTCAGGACTGGCTGAGAAAAAAATTACTTTGATTGTAACCATATGCAAAAATCTAAAATCCAGTAATTAGGTTATTTATATTTGTATGTTATCTAAATACATAAACAAAATAATTGACTGGTTGCATTACATATTGTTTCAAAGTATGATGTTCTAAGCCAAAACATATCAGTGTATGAGGGCATCAGTTGTATTTACCATACTATATGGATTAGAGTGCTTTAACCAGTATGGTGTTTTAGAAAATGAAAAACACCGAGTTTTTTTCTATCTTGCGGTGTGTTGGCGTTAGTGGGGGCGGATAAGCACATAAAATAGGCATTGTTGTTCACTTTTGTATAGAATTATGAGACTTTGGCCACATATTCTACTTTGGTTAATAATGATTTTTCTGATATAGTGCCAACTGAACAGCGTCCCCTGGTTGCTCGCAGCGCCCCTAGCGGCTGACCGCAGTAGCGCCTCCCGAACAGACTGTTCTTCCAACTGCAACAGCTTCCTTATTTCTGATCCAAATTTACTGAAATTTGGATATGCTATGTATTGTTCCCTTACAAGAACATCTTATGCTAAATAGTTTTTCAGACCAAGGTGTGTTTGTTTGTTTGTTTTATTAATATTTTCATGTCTTTTTTCTTTACAAATAATTCAATAATCAACACTCATATGTTCCCAGAAAACAGAATTTTAAAGTTTCCTTTAAGAATGTTTAAAGCTGAACACATTATATCATATGCATAGATTTTTAACTGCGCTGTTCATCACATGCACAGAGAGCAGTACACTGAAGCGCTGTTTTTGCACACTTGCATCGTCCTAAATATGTCCTTTTGCAACCACAGTGTACCAGCTCTCGGCAAATCTTTGCAGCTTCAGGTAATTTTGTCCAAACAGAGTGATCGGCTCCTCCTTCAAGTGTCCAACCCCAATAGATGGAGTCAGGAAAGGATGATCATAGGACTAGGACATTGTCACCAGACATGGTCACCTTGGTATACAGCTTGCTTTATATGTTGTATTAGCGCAGCTTGGGTTGGTGGAATCCCTTTAAGCCTCGGCCTTTATTTGTGTAGAGATATTTCAGGGCATCGTTCACCTGTAATGTAGTAACAAGGTCATAAAAATCGCAGTTTCAACAGAGAATGTATCAATGTTTTTTTGCTAGCATTTACATCTATAGTCTGCTATATGAATATGCCTTTAAGTTTAGCCGTGTCCCAAACAAAGATAAGTTTTACTAAGTTAGTATGAAGTTAATAAGTGGTCAAAAAGTACGAAGGTATGCCACTAAGACATTCATGGTTACCTTTTTTATTTCACTGTTACGGCCGTACAGTAGAACAATAAATCTTTCCAATACAGCTAGTTGTTCATCAATAATAGCACCAGGGGATGCAGTAAGTAGTAGAAACATATGTGTAGCCTGTTCACAAGATCTCCATATATCCCAAGCTGTCTTTTTCCCACGACCACAGAAGGAGACAGCATCGCATCCTTTTGTGGCATGGAACATAGGAAGTGCCCCTGCTTTTTCTTGCCCCATGGCAGATGCATATAGGTGAATTGGCAGGTATCTGAAGTTATTGCCTGACCCAAAAGTTATCCATAGTTCCTCCACAGCCTGTCTATGGTAATTAGCACAACATTGGTGTCCACAGTTCTTACCAGAATTCTATTATGGCCCTTGCTAGCAGCATCTATGTAGTGAAGAATGATGCGTGTATCGGCTTCTTTATGAGAACACAGTGTAAACCGAGATAAGTCCACACAATCATGCACACACAGAACATCCTCCCCATCTGTTACAATGATTACTTCCCGTCCCTATTCAGCTGGATGATATATATTGTTGTAATGAGAAATTAAATAATTTTGTTTTATTTTTATCCACTCGCAAGAACTCAGGCCAATTTCGTGGAAAAGGACTTGGAGACATCAGTCTGCATCTGGTTCCTCTGCCTCGTCTCTCTCTCTAGTTGATGATTTCAGACCACACTGCAGATAAACATCCAAAACCACATCCAGTCATTTCACTTTTCCAAGCCATCATGTAATACTGTATAAGGCTAAAAAACTGCTTTGCTATACTCTTTGAAGGTCTTCGTTTACTTGGTTTGATCATCTGCGCAAAAGCAGCACCATCAATAACCATTGCTGAAACATCAGGCCCACCTGTTTTTTCAGTGTGTTTGGACCAAAAATATGGGATTTGTTGCAGTTCGAAGAACTGCCTGTTCGGGATGCACTACCGCGGTCAGCCACTAGGGGCGCTGCAGGCAATCAGGGGACACTGCTCAGTTGGCACTTTATCAGAAAATCTTAACTCACCCAAGTAGAATATGTGGCCAAAGTCTCATAATTCTATGCAAACGTGAACAATCCTTGTGCTTATCCGCCCCACTAAGTATGGTGTTCTAAGGTATGGTGCTTCATTTTAATTCAGGCCATTTAGACTTATTTTATAAACAGCCAGTGTCGTTAAGCATGATAATTTAGAGTAAACTCCGTGAAGATATGGCTGAAAATATCACTCACTACGAAGCAGAGTCAGTCGACTGGCGGTCAAGGAGACAAATGCCACCTGAAGTAAAAAATGTAATGTCTTCGACGTCATCATTCTTCCTCTCCTCCACCTGGTAATAATTTGAGAATTATGAATTATGCAACTTATTAATTATTTAAACACTTCTTAATAAGTGAATTAAGGATGGATATGAGCTGTAAAACGGTGATGGTGATGATGACCCAAGCCCAAACGAGGGCGTTTGCTCGACAGTAGTGCTGTTCGTTAAGAATTGCTTGATTTAAGTAACACTGATAGGTATCGGGTAACGAAGACAATGATGGGGAGGAAACAGACCCAGATGAAGTCGAGTTTGTTGGCGCGGCCAGCGGTGAGGACATTGATACTGACAATTGTGCTCACTCCCCACCCCCCTCCTCAACCCGCCAGCTACCGTGAGCCACGGTACAAGGATGTGATGACTTGGTGCGTGGAGTGTGGAGTTGCCTTATTCATTCAATGCTACAAAGACTTCCACGCTGTCAAAAACACAAGAACATAAGAATGGAGGAAGCTGCAGCTGGCCTATTGGCCCATACTGGGCAGTCCTGTTTATACCCAACCCCTATTGATCATATATCCATCCAACCTATGTTTGAAGCTATCCAGCGTGTTCGAGTTAATGATGATGTTTGGTCACTTGTTCCATTCGTACCAATTTAAAACCATTTCTGCTAGTTCGCTCATGGTTGGATAGTTTGAGTACCATTGTTATATCACCTTTGTTTTGCCCTGACTTCCATTTATACACCTCTATCATTTCGCCCATCACCCTACGTCTCTCGAGGGAGTGCAAATTAAGATGATGCTTTGACCTGTCTCAGTACTTAAGGTTCTTAATGCCTGGCATTAGTCTTATCGTTCTCTTCAGAATTCTGTAAAGGAATCTATATCCATTTTGTAATACGGTGACCAGAACTGAATTGTATAAGCCAAGTGAGGTCTCACAAGCACGATTTATAGTTTTAGGATAACCTCGCTAGTTTTGAAAGTAACAGTTCTGTGTTAGCCTTGTTTCGAGCAAATACACAGTGTTGATTTGGTTTAGGATTCCTACTTATCATTACTCCTAAATCTTTCTCACAGTGCGATTTTTCGATAACAACGTTGTTCATCTGATATCTGGTCTCTCTATTTACATCTCCTAGACTAAGTACTTTACATTTGTCCCCATTAAATTTCATCTATTATTTTTCATTCCGCTCGAAAAATTTGTTTAGAGCTTCCTGTAGTTTTGCAGAGTCCTCGTCAGATTTAATTATGTGCCCTATTTTAGAGTAATCAGCAAGTTTACTTAGGTTGTTGTCTATTCCTATATCTGTGCCGTTTATGTACATAATAAATAGTAATGGTCCAAGTACTGAGCCTTGGGGTACTCCACAAGTGACGTTACCCCAATCGGATTTAGAGCCATTAATGCTCAATCGTTGTTTCCTGTCCTGTAACCACGCCCTAATCCATTTTAGAATATCTCCTCCAATTCCAAGAGCCTTCACTTTTCGTATTAGGCTTTTCTGGTGTCAAGGTATACAACATCATAGTCGTGCTCGTCGTCTACTGATTCACAAACAGCTGAAAAGAATGTTAATAGATTAGTCAGACATGAACGCCCATTTATGAAGCCATGTTGGGAATTATTGATCAACTTGTGCTTCTCCAGGTGATTTCGAATCGAGTTTGAAATTATTACTTCCAGCAGTTTGCCTACAATAGATGTTAAACTCATTGGACAGTAGTTAGAGGGTAGTAATCCTTCTCCCTAAGGGCATACTTAGGTCTCCCTACGTCAATGCAGGAGGCAACGAATAGTTCCCTTATAAGTTCAAGGCAACTATTGATCGTAATAGGATGGAGGGAAGTATCCCTATCATATGGCAATGAATGGTTGTCAATGGCAATTGGTATCAACTGCTGTCTTGACAGATATGCAGATATCAGTCCTATTCATTGACAACTGGGGAAATTCTACCCTGGCTGGATTTTCGTGAGGGAAGTTCAAAAGATGCCAAAGTGTTTAAACTGCTAAGGGAACATGAGAGAACGGGGTTACATAACGAAAGGTTACATAGAAATCGTGTTTGGAATAACTGTCACATTACTGACAAATGTGGGGTTGTAGTTCACTTTTTGCAATCCTAATTCGAATCTGTTTCGCTACAAACGCAGCAACAGAGTCGGTTTCACGAGGTCGATGTGGTGTAGATGATGAGAAACAGACAGGCGGTCGCCCTGTGCAGACCGACTAGACCGTCGCAGGGGTGTCAAACTTACTTGCCAAGGTGGGCCAGATGTAATATGAGTACACAGTATGCGGGCCAAGTAACATAATTATGAGCACTTCGCCATCACCTCTTAGGTGAGTAGTACGACAAAATAAGAAAGGTGGATTTAGTCTGCGCTCGTGCGAAACCCTTAAAAACAAACAAATCAAGTGTTTACTTACCTTGATCAATCTTATTGTTTGCTACTGCTGCTTCTTGATAATTGGCACCTCTTGGTATGGACCAATGCATCAAAGTTTGGCACTAACGACTGAGCTGTAGCAACCTTCAATATTGAATTAAGGTGCGCATCAGTAAGCTGAGACCGAAGCCGAGACTTGTTCAAGTTCATCACAGAAAAGAGTTGTTCACAGACATATGTACTTCCGAACATTGACATAATCTTTGAGGCAAAACATTTAATCCCGGGATAATTTGGTCCAAAATATTGATAAAATGTGCAACATCAACACTCGAAATCTTGTTCCTCAACACAAAATCACACTGGAGTTCATTGGTGATGTTGATTGAGTATATTGTTCTAGGAAACAGCGGACTATTTTATTCAGCTGAGGGATACACTCACTGTTTAGTTTTATCTCCTCAAGGTAAGGCTGGAGCAGCAAATGAGCCGGGGGCCGCATGTAACAGTGTGTCGGGCCGCATGTTTGACACCCCTTGACTAGAGTACCTGGACTCGAGGCATGGACACAGCCGGATTATCCACTGTTCATGGGAGCCTCATCGTCACCACTTCACGGAGCCGGAGCATAGAGAGATAACACCGTGTGGAAGAACCTTCGATGGGGTGTAGATACTGCTATACTTGTGTATTGCTCTCAGCCGGAAAGAGGAAGGAATAGCTAAGGCTAGCTATCCTAGAACAGTGCTTGTCTTGAAGAGCCTGGTGGAATGGCCTGACAACTACCAGAGAGGGCTATCGAGTCGAGAGGCGTCAATTGAAGAACAAGACGACTACCCAAAATGACGTGGCCGTGCTAAGGAGTGACTTACCACTTAATCTCAAGATTTTATTTTTCCGTTTTGTTCCTGTTAAATAGTGTACAAAACTTATATGTATTGTCATAGTATTAAGTATATGCTTGGAGCCTGGTCAACTATGGCTATATAAACCTTTCCACCTGAACCATCTTGCTGCCGCCAGCAATTCACTTTTAACTACACACGACAATGATGAAAAAGTTAAATTAATCAAAGTTAAATCCAAAACTTGACAAAGAGAGAACTCAGATTACGACTTATTGAATTGGCTACTACGTAAATAGTAGAAGTGTGAGAAAAAATGGGTGAAACCAGATCTTTGGTATGGACTGAAAAAATCGATATAATAGCATTCACGGAAAGATGGATTAACTACGACTCACTTTAATTACCTGTCGAATACCAAGTTAAAGCATATACTACAATTAGTTCTTCAAACAGAAAAAACCTCATTAGTAATGTCGATGTAGGACGCGAACTGGCTAACAGCAATCACAAAGAAGTGATATTAAAAATAGGGCTTAATGTCAGTCACAAAGAAAATTTCAATAAAGTCACAGATTTTCAGAAGGGCAAACATAGAAGGATTAAAAAAATATAGCTGAGAAAAGGGGTGAATTACCTGACTCACGAGTGTGTGTAAATAACGTGACCTCACACAATGTGCCTGCAGAGGGTGACCCCACATTACTAGGTGAGCAGACTATGATAATTACACAAAGCCTGGCAACGGAGGGTGACCTGACCACAAGATATGAGGTTGAGGAGTGCTATAACAATTTAAAGAAGGAGTTACTTAAGACACAAAGGCAGAATACACCTCATAGATTAGGCCCATATTCAGAACTAAAAAAAATGGGTTTACCAAGGCGAATTTTGAGTATAAATTATTCAAAATGCCAATTCAAAATGGCCGCTACCACAAATAATGTAACAGCAATATATCTGCTTCTCGGGCACCTAGAAAGTTGATATTTGTGGCCATACCTAAGTTTTCATGGGTGTAGAATACAATTATGTCATCTTCATTCATGTAAGTGATAATTCTGAACTTCTTTAGGGAATTTCAAACTGGTCACTTTTTCAATATAGTACATATTTTCGCAAATGGTTGCTTGTGATACGTGTAGTAAGTCCATTTTAGTGGCCAAGTTATGTTTTGAGGGGTGAAAAAGACAACTAACAATTCTGTACATATGTCAATTACATACAGCATACAGGGTGTTTATGCCCAAAGGAGTGTGCGATAATTATCGCACACTCCTTTGTAAACTTGTAAATAATTATAATTATTTACAAATTTACAAATATTAGGCAGAATACAACTTACAGTATGTTAGAGTATACATTAAGCATATTTTTTTGATTTTCTCGAGCTGCATGAAATACCCACAAAATCAATCAGTTTTTATTGATGCAGATATTCTCAGGCTCATACAATACATTTTCATGCTCCAGTGCATACCAAGGTATTCTTACGACATTTGCATCGTAGTGTTCCACAGCCACTTTTGGACTGAAATGAAATCATCTCCATACACGCCTTTGGCACAGGATCTATGGTCATCAAAACAAGCAACAGATCTCTGTCAGTCAGTATCCATCCCATAGTGTCTGGTAATGGAATATTAGGTGTTGCTCTGCTTGCCTGCTTCCAAATCAGCGATTGATAATGAACGCTCCTCATTTGGTGTCATAAGGCATTACTTGTTGGAGGTAGAGTTTCAGCACTGTTCTGTACAGTTTTCCAAACAAGATCAGTCTTGGCTCAACTACTGATTCCACATCGCTTTTTACTTTGTATAAT